AAGTGCAGCCCCTTGGTGAGCTCAGGACAGAATATCGGCTAGAATTTTCAGCTAGAATTTCAGCTGGAATTTTCAGTGATTGACCCTCAGCTACAGTATGTATGGAGAAAGGGGACAGCATGAGACTGGTGTGACAGACAGACAAGTGCTGGACAGACAACTGGATATCTCAGGCTCTCAATGGAGCCGGCGCTATGGTCCACAGAACCAACTCTTGGTGGAGGTTGACCTCAGCCTCCCTCAGCTCCTTGGAGAGAGGCATCCCAGCTGGGGCCAGCCTCCAGGGACCACTGGCCCATCCAGGACCCCCTGCCCTTGGGAGGGGATGAGGGTCTTTCCTCATTGCCAGGGGCCAGCTTGGTCCTTGTTTCCCCTCCAAGAGCTGCCAAGCCAGAGCTGACTTCCCGCCACCGAGCACAAAAGCTGACCTCCCCACCAAAAAAGAAGCTGCTGCTGGGGGTCTTGGGCAGCTCTCAGGTCAAGATGGGGGAGAGGGGACAAAGAGGATGGGTATCAGGAAAGGCCAGGAGAGCAGCTTGGAGGGAGACACAAACAGTCAGCAACCATCGCAACCTGCAGGGGTGGGCTTGCTCCCCCTCCCCACCTCGGTGCTCCCTCCCCCAGGCAGATGCAGGAGCGGCAGGGGGACCACCCAGCTGCTGATCAGAGGCGGCAGCTTACAGGCTCCCAGTCCGGGAGACGTCACCTCAAGATGTCCCAGAGCGGCGGCGGCATCCCATCACATTTCTGTCCACCAGTCAGTCCCACCAGGCTGTCTGTCATTGATTTTTGTTTGCTCCTGCAGCCCAGAAATCTGCAAGACAGCGTGAAGGTGGGTACACAGTCCTGCTTCGGCCTGTCCTGCTCACCAAGGCAGGACCTGCCCCCGAAGAAGCAGCAGAGGGGAAGAAAAGAGGTTCTCCCCACCCCACGAAAGCACCAGGCTCTAGCTCTCTTCCCACCTCCTCAGACATACAAGGCCAATACGAATCCCGCGAGCAGTTCAACTGCAGCGCAAGACACGCTGCAGGGACTCATGCAAGGAAGAAAGGGGAGGCAGAGGCTGTCAGGACTCTCTGTGCCCAAATCCTGCTGGCGGGGCATGGACAAGGGGGATCACATTGC